TGTATGCCTGTGGCCCTCAGGCAGAGCTATTTCCCTGAAAACTGTACTTAATCCGATAATGGATTAAATCTCTTTTTTCCTTGAGATTTTGGTGGGTGGAGGCAGGGCCAAGAAGTATCCTTAACTCAATTTTACATACAGAATCAAAATACAGTGCAGTAAAAGGTGTAGAGGAACAGGGTTGATATCAGGAATAGTATGCCCTAAATAAAGGATGGGAATTCCAGAAAATTATAAATATTATAATTATAAATGGTGTAAAAACCACTTTTTGTTAAAATATAGATTTTTTTAGAAAATTACCTTTTGAATGTACTCCTCTGCTTCCAAATAACCAAAGATGTATAATAAGAAAACTAGAAAAGTAAAAGAAAGTAAGAGCAGAGAAAAACACGCACTTAAACATTCTACTCAGTATTCTCTGCACATCAACATTCTCCTGTGTTACTGTTACAGCTCGCTTCCCCCAAATATGTGCTGTGTAACAGGTGAACATCTTTGCTGCCATTTTGGGCTAATGCAAAGCTGTGTTTAGGACAACTGAGGCCAGTGTTGTCAAAGAAAGGGCTCTCAAGGTCAGATTCTTTGTCCCTCAATCCTGACCAATCTCCTGGTAATCTACCGGCACAATATAGTTGTCTCATTTTTCTGGGCTTAGTTTTTCCAGTTTCCTAGGTTTCTCTTGTCATTTAAAAAATCAGTTTTGAGAAGGAAGCATCCTTCGAGAATAAAGGATTTCTCAGGAGCACCCAAGGACCTTTTCTTAGCGGTCATAGAACTTAACCTCACCATCACTGCAAGTTCCTCAGGACTGAAAGGACCCCTCGCAAAAGTAATGTGATCCAACACATAAAGCCACACCATTTCAAAACAAGAGCACAGGGGTATCTGGTTAAGATGGGAAATGGCTGAAGGTGGAAGGCATGAGCCCTTGTTAGGAATCCCTACAGGAGATATCAGCTAGACGGTAGTAACTGTATAAGGATTTTCGGAGTGCCCTCAAAACATGGTGATCACCATGATCTTTTGTACAAATATTAAGAACCTCAAGCCTCCTTGTAAATACATACTACAGGTATGCCAAGTTTCTTGTGTAGGGCTCTGTTGAAAGCAGAAAATGAAACTTCAATACCACCAAGAGATTTGTTCTACTCAATTAGTGAGAAATGATTGTATATTTCCTTGGAGAGTTAGGGAGTGTTTTTATTTATTTATTTCCATTAGGGTAAAGTAAGGTTTTGGGTGAAAAATTAAAGGGACCTAAATCTTCCCACATGCCAGTGAGTGGCTTGCATAAATGAAAGCCAGTCTGAGGGGGAGTCCTCTGTATCACTCCTTGAATCTCTGCCTTTCACAAAGAAGCAATTCTGAGGCTTCCTCTTCAGCCAAAAGAAGGTACCAGATCTGTTTATTGCCCCTGATGTAAGCTCCAGTAAGAAAAGACGGTCTAGCACAAGTAAGTAGAAAGTCACTTCGTGCCTCTCTACATAGGTTTGTAAATATAGAAAGATGTTGAATGGGAGCTTTCTAAATTCAATTTAATAGTTAAAATTTAATTTTTATCATCCTTTTTCTTCTTAATTGCATACATGTTTATTTCCATTTCTGATTCTTACACATTTTTCTTCCAAATTTTGGTTCTTGGCCTTCTTTATTTTATAAATTTCCTTTCCTCTTGCCATTTCTCCTTGTTTTTACTCTTTTCCCTAGAAAACTAGAACATGAAGACTTTTTAAAAGCTCATGGTTTTATTATGAACCACTAATCAAAAATTACTTTTTTCTCATTTCTATACTAATATACAAAATATGTCTACCCTTGTAGATTCAACAGGACTTTTCTTCAGGAGTGATACAATTTATCTATAGTGTTTTTATCTCTATGGTTAAGTAGATTGTCAAAGCCAGGAAGAATCCACTGCAGGAATCTCAAAATGATATCTTTTATTGTTTTCAACCTTCAACTATGAAATGAAGTGTACAAAAACCCTAAGCAATCTGGAGTAAGATAGGTTTTCTAAAATAAAATTTTTGTTTTGAGATGCAAAGTAACTCATCAAGTTTTACAAAATGCACTGTTGACTTTTGAGCAGTTTATAGAGCCTGGGCAGTAAAGATAATGTCCTTTTCCAGTGGAAAATAATAAAATTTTCAACAAGAGTTAGAACATTCTGTATTCCACATTCCACATATTTCTAGTATGTGTTATTTAGGTCACTTTCCTGAATCACATAACCACGTGGCTCTACCATAATTCTATAAGAATTAGAAAGAATGATAATGTATCCCCCACCCAGCTCTCAAGACATACAGTAAGGTAGGCCCATGGCCTCTATGGTCACATGTCCTAAACCAGGTGCTCACTGAATATAAGGTTTAATTTTATGAAATTAAGTCTACCCATTGGCAATTTATTAAAGTCCATGGGAATAAAGCCAATGAAGAATGTTTAAAACTTTCTACTCCCAGGCCCAAGGCTCCAGAGAACAAAACAACTGCTTTGGGTTTTGTTTTCCTTGTTACTCTTTGTTGGACTGTTTGTTTTTCAGTGCTGGGATCAAACCCAGTGCTTGGGCATGTCAGGCAAGTGATCTACCACTGGGGGACACCCCAGCACACAAAGATCTCTTCTTGAATTGATAGGGATGAGGAGAGAGAACCACCCTGTAAACGTTAAAACACCCTACTCCTGAAAAGAAAATCATATGGGCTTTAGGTTTCCAATATTTTCACTCTCCAGCGAGCCAGAAGAGGCGATGAGACACTGAATTTAGAGTTGCTCTGCAGATGTGAAGGAGACTGGGAGGATAAAGCAGGCAGCTTGTAAATTATGGCCTTGATCCATCTCACTCTGGCAACTTGGTCCGCAAGTTAAATTTGCAAACTTCATTTTACAAATGAGTTCTCAGTTTGTCAGGTTTTAGATGTATATGCTACACCAACAAGAGAACAATAGCTCAGCAAAATACACTTATGAGACCAGCTTTCCAAGCACAGTCAAGAAGAGGCCCATGAATATTTATGCATCCTTTCCAATGACTTTAATGGAGAGGCGGCTGCATGGGGTGGCAGCAAGTCCCAGACCCTTGGAGAGTGAATCGCAAAATAGAATTCAGTTTCAAGCTATTAGGGAGAAGGTTGCATTTAAGTATGTTAGCGAAACTTTTATGTGTGCCTGCTGGTGCTCTTGGCAGTGCGTGCTGCAGTTTTGGTAAAGAAACCCAGGGAGTTCAACCTTCCCTTGCCTTTGGGGGGATTTTTTTCAGAGTGGCTGAGGAAGGAAAGTTAATAGCACCCATGTGGCAGGATAATAGACTCGGGTTGCGGGGATGCTCTCCCGGGGGAGTACCTTCCTCAGACATATTTGATGGGTTTCATCATTTTAACCCTCACTTGCTACTGATCTCTCTTAATCTAGTTATTCATGTGGCACAGGGAGGGCACTGTCGTGAGTTGAGCTACTTTGTATCCAACAGGGACACTCCTGGGAGGAGGAGGATTGCACAAGGCAGCGCTCACCATCTTGAGTAAACCGAGCCGTCCTAAGCTCAGGCCCTGTCACATCTGTCATAAATTCGTGTGGTTTTAAAAGAAAATCAGCAGGAAAAAAATCACCACTGTTTTACTGTTGTTTTCTCTTATTGTGCAGTTTTAAAATATTCATAACAATGAACCATTTTATTTAGACTAAAGCAACTGCTGTTCACCCAAAGCAGTGAACACTTTTTGTTTGCTAATTTAAAAAGCAGTTCAGAGATTGGGATGGTGTTTATTATGGAGTGATGACAAAAGAGTTCTGGTGGTTTTAATAGTTTTAGCTTAGGAGAGCTGTCGTTAATTTCGTCTGTAGTGTTGCAGGTGAAAAAATGCACAATGGATAAATAGTCTATATTGGTTTAACTGAACATAATATATAGTGTGTTCTGGGGTTGTTTGTCTCAATAGACTATAGTAATCAAAAGTAATGAACCTATTATGTGCAGGACCTTGGAGAGCGTCGAATGGCAGTAAAAGTGTGGCACATAAAAGGTTTATTAAAGGAAATTAAAGTCCATCATTGCCACACCTGCTCCCCTATTATAAGTCTATGGCAGGTCAGTGCCTTCAATCACACCCTAGCCTCTGAGAGCGGAGACGAGACTCGCATCCCCATGCAGTCACTCCGCCTCCCCGCCCGGTCAGGATTTAAGGATGAGCGCCACGGAGCGCGCCTTCTGCCTGCCTCTGATTTTCACCAAGCAAAACAACTTATTTATATTTAAGAATTCCTTCCAACAATGTGCAGAAGCGAATGAGACTAGGAGATGATGAACAACATCTAGTGCAATGGATGGATGTGGTCAGGTCAGAGCCTCTGAAAACAAAAGTCTTTGAAAGTCCCCGCTTCCCTTCGGGAGCTTAACATTTTTAGTGATGAGAGGACTTTGATACAGACACCCACAATTTCACCTTATCCATGGGAAGGAGTATAACTCATGTTCTTCTGGAATTCTGGGGTGCATGTAGGTCATGGTTGATGGTCAAATTTTCCAATGACATATTCTGGGGGAATGACAAGGGATTGCCTTCGTGTTGTTTTTTAGACAGGCAGTCGTTGTTACTAGCTTAGAAGTATACATTGGAAAGGGTCTAGAAATGTAGAGGACTCAGGGTGCAGTAAATTAGTTTGAAATCTTTCAGTGTGGCATTAGAGATTTCATCACCTTCACAAGCACTGCTGATCAATGCCAGAAGCGTTTTAATCACTAGACAACACTCGTGGACAAGGACATCTGCCCCCTTGTCGCTGTTCTCTCTGTTTCCAGCAGCTATAGATGTGATTCTAAAACTCGTGGAATGTGGGGGCAGTCACAGTTAGATGCCGGTAGAGCCAGGAGCCAATGCAAGAGCGTGGCGAGCATCTCTGTTTTTCACAATTACCTTCACAACTTCTAATTATGTGTTTTCATATTTTGGTCAATGTCAAAGGACTGAGCTCAGGACTTTGTGTTCGTGTTACAGATGGATGCAGAGGCTGAGGATCATACACTGCGTACTCGCTCGAAAGAAACGGAGGGTGAGTTACCACGCAGGTTCCAGGACAACGTGCCCATCACACCGTGAAAGATGGGAGTGCCAGTCATCTGTCCCTGGCGTGTAGTAACAGTGCTTACAACTTCCTCAGGGCTTCTTTCATTCTAATCAAACCAGGACACTGGCTCTTGGCATTGAAAGACAAAATGTCATGAACCAGGAGTAAGAGGACACTGAAAGTCCAAATGGTGTATGATGCTGATTTTTACAAAACGCAGTGCTGAGTAGATCTGAACATGGGGCAAAACATCCTAAGGCTCAACAAGGGAGGAACGCTGGTGGAGATCTTCAGAATGTGGAAGTGACCCTTAACGACCAAGGGAAAAGACTGAATTGTTAGTTTATTGCCAAAGCCGGTTTTGATTTTTATGTTATCTGGTTTAGTGACTCCCAATCTATACTGAGTTCAAGTAAAATGACGATGTTTGTTTTTGACTATCCCTGCTGGGAATTTGCAGCAGCTCTGCAAAGTAATGTTTGGAAGGTTTAACTTGCCGGTTATCCCTCTCTTTTTGTAACCAACAGATGGTAATGTAATATTGAAATATAAACAGGCCCTTGATGATCTAAACATCTGGAAAACAGGATTGACTGGCAATAACACCCCTTAAGGAAAATAACTTTTATTATAATTAGCTATATTTTGGTGACCCTTAAATCTAAGTGGAAAACTAGGTTTGTCATGTCTCTGAAAACACTCTGGAGAGCTGCCCCTCCTCCTCAGAGGCCATATTGCTGAGGAAGAGCTGAACTCTGGCTGCCTGCGTCCTCTGGAAGGACTTTGAGATTTACTGTTGGAAGTGGCTAACCAAATGGAATTTTTGAGACAAGGTGTTGCCAATATATATATGATCATATATATATATATATATATATATATATATATATATATATATATATATTCATGAATATATAGAGAAAGGAAACAAACTTTAATGCATTAACAGATGATTTTTTTCAATCAAAATGTGACCAATGGTTATCATTAGACATGATACAAAATTCAAAATTGCAGTACACAATGTGGAACTTTACTCGAAAACTTTGCTCTGTATTTTCTAGGTCTGGCTTATGTTACTCTGAAAGTGAACATATTATTTTTCTTTGCTTGTTTGTTTGCTTCAGTTTTTGAGGCAAGGTGTTACTCACTTTCCAGGCCAGGCTGGAGCTCTCTGTGTAGCCCAAGACCGGGTGACCTCCCCCAGCCTCCTACATGCTGGAAGGGTAGGCATACAGCAACACATCACACCCTGCTTTAAATTAACTACATTCTATTATCTCATATTTGAAATGTAGTGTTTCTAGACACTGAATTTTCATGCAGTGAACTTCTTGGTAGGATATGAATTTAAGAAAAGAGTTGTGTTTCATTTTTAGGATTAACTCCTGCCTGCTGTATATCAGGATTCTAAAGATTGTGTTTGAGTACTTCAAATCTTTTATATTGATGTCTCAAAACATACTACTCTATCATACTTTTAAAGTGTGGGGCTTTTAATTTGCAATTCTTTTTGGACTTTGAATTTTTTTGGAATACACATACACACCCTTAAATAGAGCCAAAATGTTCTTCTAGAAGAGAAACGACTGTTTCTCATGAAGCGTGAGTAATCTTGAAAACCACCTGTTGCCTCCCTCCATATGTTGCTTATCCTTGGTGTAGGCAGGTATTTATAAACACGAACTCCTTTAGTTCCCGGCTTTCCAGCCAGAAAAAACAAAGCTCTCTTTTCTGTAAGCTCTGCATTTGTAAAAGGTTGTTAATAGCGACATGTCTGAATCTTATTCCTCTCTTCCTGTGTGTAGGAAGTTTACGGAATAAAATCTTGGGGTTCATTCACTCAGCAAGGCCTTGCCAGTTTTACATGAACATTTGTTCCGTCTCACTCAGTATGTAACCTGGGTGACAGGTGTCAAGCTCTTGGCTAGCAGGTGGGAATTCCTGAGTTCTATCTCCAGCACTATAACATAAATCTTAATTCTTTTTTGGGAGGTGTATCGGGAATCGAACTCAGGACCTTGTGCTTGCCAGGCTATATCCCTGGCCCATCTTAATTCTTTTGAATAATTTCATATTAAAAATTAAAAGTAAGTTTCATTGTAAACTTCACACAAGTCCTTTTGCGTTCCTGTAACTAGCAGTGAAACTGTAAAGACAGGTATGTGAAGGATCTCACATTTCACTGCCAGGATCTAGTGCCACTCAAGTCAGTGAACACAGAGTGAGTCTGTTTGAGGACATACTCATCTGTCCCCTGAGCTCGAAAGGATACAAACAAGAGAATGGCCAATTTCCCCAGTGAAAAACCAAGTGGGCTCTGTACTAATCGTTTATTTTGGTTATTCTCTCTAAGTGGATGACAAATTTCAATCACCTGCTTCTTTTTTCTGTCCACAGTGCCAATGGATTCTCTAATCCAGGAACTCAGGTAAGGTCTGCCCTGAATTCCTTTTTTTCAGGTTGATTGGCTTTAATGATCACGATGATTTGTATTTCTCAAGCCTCAGAGTCCTTGTTTTAGAATAAAGGATAAGACAAAGGGCTTATTTCACCAGCGCTCTGTCCATACACGAATGAAGCAGAGAAGAGGACCAACCATATCCACAAGGATCCAAAACAATTTGATCTAATAGTCTGACCACAAAACACCACATTTTGCTGTAATGTGAGTAATTTCCCACTTTTCTTCATGGAGTGTGGGCTGCCATACACTTCCTATACACCCTGTACAGTTGGTTGGATTTTGCTCTGAGCCTTGTGAACTGAACTGTTATTGCTGATGAATGGATTACCCACTTCTAAGTTGACTACTTTTTTGTTTAAAACAATTAGGTAATTCCATATATATATATATATATATATATATATATATATATATGTATTTTTTTTTGTTTTTGAGACAGGATTTTGCTATGCAGTTCAGGCTGGCCTTGAACTCACTTGGTAGCCCAGGCTGGCCTTGAACTCACAGCAGTCCTTCTGCCTCAGCCTCCCTAGTGCTGGGATTATAGACATGTGCCAGCATGCCCAGCTATGTTTTTACCTTTACATCAGAAGATAATGTGGCACATAGGTTTTGTGAGTGGGTCCGTGCATTTCTACCTTAGATGCCATAACTCAATATTAATGCCTCATGATACTCTAAAAATTCTGCCCTCTCTGTTGCAGAATACATTCCAATTGAATTTTTAAATGGCATCTTTGTCAAATTTTAGTAAAGAAAAGTATGTTTTAAGAAAGAAAAACACATGCTTAAGATTAGGATAAAGGTATGTGCGAGGAAGAAGATGGTGCCCTTGGTCATTGTTTTGAGGCTTACGATTACAAATTCAGAAAGTTCCACTAGCACTGTTCCTTCCACCTTTCTAAAAACAGCAGTGACCTCTATGTGTTCCTCGGGGAAATGTTTGGAAAACGAAGCTTGTGTAACCACGTTCAGTACGCCTGCTGCTTCGGAAGCACGCCTTCACAGTTCCCCGACTTCCTCCTCCAGGCAGCTGTGTGTCTGATTCTCCAGAGCACAGGCCGTCTCACCTTCCTCCCTGTTGCCCGCGACCCCTTCCCTCACGGCCTTGGCCTACCTGTGCAGTGGAATACCTGTTAGAATTCAAGCTGATGCTCTTTTCCTTGGGAATTTTCTAGAAGAGCCTCTATGGCTCTGCCTGAGTTGTCAATATCCTCACTAAAAATTTTAATTTTTAAAGTACTTAGGAAAGAGTAGGATGCACCGTGCACATGGGAGCAAGATCAAACCGCTGAACTGCTTGGTTTAAATTCTTGCTTTAAATTTGCTGTCATATAGAATTTCTATCTTTTTGAGGAATTTATGTGCCTTGCAGAAGGGTCAAGCAAAGCTCAGAGTGATCCGTGCTTAAGATGTATCAGATATTTTCAGCACCTGTGATGCCTTCCCAGTGTGGCTGTGAGCACGGGGCCGACTCACCTATTGTCATGAGACTCACCTGTCAGTCATTTTAGAAAATCAGACCATTCACAGGCAAAAATTGGGACCCTTTTAGTGATGTGTAACTTGAAAAAAAAAAAACTTTTAAAGAATTAATGTGTATAAATTGACCTAAGAATAAATATATAATTCAGACAGAAAAAAAGGAATTGCCAGAAAGAAAACAAACTTATGAGTGAAATTTTTAATATAAATTTTTTCAGAAATAGAAATTTCGGGCTGGGGATTTAGCTCAGCGGCAAAAGCGCCTGCCTGGCAAGCGCAAGGTCGTGAGTTCGGTTCCTGGTACCGGAGAAAAACCAAAAAAAA